GATGAGGCTTGGATAAGGGATGGTGGAAGGGAGACAGTGATCCAGGCGAGGCCAGGAGTTGAAGGGGAGGGTGGAGAGGGGACACTCCATGGGTCCCCCTAGCGGCCACACCAGGGGAAGGCGCTAAGTGGTTTCACCCTGGCCTGAAGGACCCAGAGCCTTGCCTGGGTTCTTAGTTTTGTACTTGTTACGGGACATTTGCCTCGGTTACTTAGCTCCTGAGCGTTTATTCAGAGGGAAGGAGGTCCTTCCACCTTCTTATAAAAGATCTTTGTGATGAACAAACTATTGAGGAGGAGAAGGAAACAGTTCTGAATCTAGGAGGAGCGCCTCAGCACCTCGCCGACCCCTGGACACCCAGCCCAACCTTCTCCCCCACCCCTTCCTCTCCGGCTGCTGTCTTTCCTCTTCTGGGCCCTGCAGCCCTCTGACCAGTTCTGTTCTCATCAGCCACTCACTGAGGCCATACTCAGGAAGGCTAGGTTTGGGAGCTAGGTGTTGGTTGATGGGGTATTGGACAACAGTCTTGCAGAAATGTTTACAGCTCCAGGGAGCAAGCCCCTAAACAATCATGGCAACACTACAGGTCAGCGCTGGAGCAGGACTGGGAAGAGTAGGCCCCAGGAGGGCTGCCGGGCTCCTGCGCTCAAGAACCAGTCACTCACAGCCTTCGGGCCTGGGGGTGGTCACAAATTTTTATCCTTCTACATAGGTCAACCCCAGCCCCGTCTTTTCTTACTTTTTCACTCTCCCTCGGAACCCAACACAGGGCCCAGCCCCTGGTAGGTTGAAGGGTGGAACTGGGGAGAACCTTTCTTGACCAGGACACAGAGAAGTCATCTCTCTCCTCTTTCAAGGAAGTTAATGGCCCAGCGCTCCTTGGGTTGCTCACCCTTTGTTCATTTGGGGACACAGAAAACTCAACAAAGTCTCCCCACCTGCATCCGTCCGGGTCTTCCCAGTGGGGCCCTCCAGACAGGACCTCCTTGCCAGCATTTGAAAAACCCCTCAGAACTTCTGTCATCCACTCTCCTCCTGGGACAACACCCACCCCACTCAGCAGACACTTGCTCCCAGCCTTCCCCAGGGAGGAACCCAGCTCCAAGTGGGAACCCGAGCCAGAGGCAAGCTTCCAGTGAAGGTTTTGGCTCCCGGCTCCCTCCCCAGCGCACCTGGCCCTCCTCTCTAATTCGACCATCTCCCCATCTAATCTTCAGATGACTGCAGACCCTGATTTCAAGAGAACCCAGAGACCCTCTGGCCCAAAGTGCCTCTCCCAGGCTAGCATGATGTTTAAACTCACAGACCCTACCCCCAGCCTCACATCTCTCCTTCACCACTCACTGGCTGGGGTAGCTTTCAGCAAGTGACTTAACCTCTCTGAGTTTCATTTCCTCCTCTTTAAAATGGAGATCCCAATAGTACTTTCTCATACAGTCCTCATGAGCATTAAAGGAGTCAATGTCTGGAAGGTGTTTCGCAAAGGGCTCAGCTGGTCATTGGTGCTCAAGAAAGGGCATCATTCCATCACCATCATCATTGCAAATTAAGCAAAGCTTGTTAACAAGCTAGCAGAGCCACTGCTGACCAATCCATGCCCTCGAGCCCCCAAGGGAGGCTCGCAGAGCCTGTTGCCAGGCATGTTGGCTGGGCGAGGGCCACTCCAACCCTGCACCCAGAGCAGTGCCAGGTCCTCCAGGAAGAGGCAGTCTTGCAGGCAAGATAAGACTAATTCGCAAAGCAATTAGTAAAAAATACAAGATAGTTTAAAAGTACTAAATTGTTCGGCGCAGACTATAATTGTGTTAATAAGAAGAACCATTTGTGTAGCATTTTAGCATTTACCTAGCACTTGGAAATACATTATCTCATGTAATCCTCAAAACAAACCAGCCAGGTAAGGACTGGCATTAGCCAACCAGGAACCGGAGGCTCACAAAGGTGAAATGGCTTGTGATCACGTGGCCAGTAAGTGGCGGACTCGGGAAGGACCGCTTCACCTCGTTCTAACTTCGTCTGGTGCCCATGGGATGCGTGTGTATGTGTGTAGGTGCATAGATGTGCGTGTGTGTGTGTGTGTGTGCGTGTGTGTGGACAGCCGGGCTGTGTGTATGTTTACGGAGTGGGTGCTTCTTAGGATTTTCCCTTCAGAATTGCCCTCCTCCTCCACTGGCCCCCAAGATTCCCGGTGGCCAGGATATCCTGTAGTTCATGTTTCGCGTCTATTTGTGCTGTGTTCAGTGGCTTTATTACGGGTCCCTCTTCCAGGTGTGGTGATCTCTCAGAGCTGGATAGGTCTCTGAACCAGCCATAGGGTGGGGATTTTGGGGACTCTTATGGCCCCAGCACTGCCCTGAGGCCCTCAGAAATATGGCAGCAAAAGATAAGGAACCAGCGGCTTAGGCCAGCCCACAGTGCTTCCTGGGAGCCAGGGCCAGAGCCTGTTGGACCTGCAATGCAGGGCTGCAGCAGGCCCCATGGCGGGCCTCTCAGAGACACAAAGCCATGCTCCCAAATCCATCCGTGAAAGGGAGAGTGGAGGACGACCCAGAAGCAGGGCCACAGCCTGGGGAAGGATGGAAAGCAGCCGATCGCAGACCAGCTACGGAACACATGGTGTGATAGAAACTCTCCATTGAACTTGAAGCCACAGTACCTGGGTTCAAGTCCCAGCCTCTCTGCCGCCTAGTGGTACCACCCTAGCCAGGGGCCTCGGTTTCTTCATCTGCAAAATGCAGATAATAGCAATACCCCTGTCACAAGGGGCAGGATTCAGTTAGTTACTTTGTAAAGCATTACCTGCACAGAGTAGGTTTGAGCAGGCCCACCTGATGACTTCTGGGCACTTTTGCTTTCATGGGCCTCTTCTTCTCTAACAAATGTTAAAAATTCTATTGTACAAGTAGGCTGGTATAAAGATGAATAGAAGCCAAGCTGGATTGTATTCATTGTCTCTTTTGATTTTAAAAGAAATGAAAACATTTTCATAGGCCTCTAAATGTATAATGACTCCTAAGCATCAGACCTGTAGTGCCTAGTGGATGAACGGGCTCTGAGGCTCCAACCTGTTTGCTAGTGTAGCTATTACAGGGTCTCCAAAACTGCCCAGGGCTTTGGCCACTGTCATTCCTTTAGGAATGTTCTATCCATCCTCCTGCGCGTCCAGCATTCCTGCCCTTCCCCCTTTGTACTGAATGCCATGCTTTGACGTCCAATTTTCCAGTAGGAGGGCACCTCCCAGCCTCTTCTTTCTCTCCCTGGGCACAGAGAGATGTGGGGCTGGCATGCTCTGCTCTGGGAATGACAGGCAGAGATCAACCTGGGTGACCAGCTCCTTTAGACCTCAGTGCCCAGGAAGAGGGCTCTGGAGGCAGGATGCCTTCTCTGGGCAGCCCTCAGAATGGTAGCAACAGCATCCTCTAGTAGTCCCCAAACTCCCTCCATGCTGTGCCTGACTCACCTCTCTCACCTGTGTTCCAAAGGTTGCCCATCCCCCCCCCGCCCCCGCCATCCAGAACATAAGGCTTGCGTTCACCTTCACATGTTTGTGTTGGTCTAAACACACCCCCCTCAATTCATACAGGATTTGAACCCAGTAATATAACTAAACCCGCACCTATCTGCAGTGCGTTCATGTGTACCCGAAGCCAATGCTAAACTCTAGATCACTGCTGTCCATGAAAATGCAACATGAGCCACAAAGGCAAGCCACATATTTAACTTTAAACATCCTAGTAAAAGGAAAAGAAACAGATGGAATTAATTTTAATGGTATATTTTATTTAACCTAATACATCCGAATATTGTCTTTCCAACATGTGATCAATATAAAGTTATTCCTGAGATATTTCAGATTTCTTTCAAAGTCTTTGAAATCCAATGTATATTTTACATATATATATATATACACACATATATATTTCAATTAGAACACTCAATTTTCATTGGAAATACTTACCTGTATTTAGACTTCAGAAAATTTACAGCTAAAAAAGCAGATTCAAATACCTGCATTTTTCCAACCATACTTAAAAGTTTTTTTAATAACTGAATCAAGTAATAGTTTTAAAATTTAAATGTAAATTAATTAAAATTTTTAGGAATTAAAAACTCAGTTCTTTAGTTGTACTGTTCACATTTCAAGTGCTCAGAGTCACATGTGGCTAGTAACTACTGAATTTGACAGTGCAAGGCTAGATTATGGAAACAGTAGGAGCCATAAAGCATGCCCTTGTGAAAATAAAGTACACCTCATAATTGATAAACAAGGAATTACTTATCAACTTAAACTCCCAACCAGGGTTTCCCAAACTGGAGTGCACAGAAGACTTACTCAGGAAATTTGTAAGAACTGCAGATGATGTCCATCCCATACCCAGAGATTCACCTGTGACGGTGGCCAGAGTGTGCATTTTGAGGAGACCCAAGGGCCACACTTTGAGAACCATCACACAGTCATCAGACAGATGGGGAATCACAGGGATGCTGGTTCCTGCTGGTTATGGAATGCACCAGACACTAAGCTCAGTTAGGACTGCCAAAGATGGGTCCACAAGACAAGTCACTGGAGTATGGGGAGGAAAGATCAATATAGGTTTTTATCATTAGTCCTTCATTCCTATTTTAGCATATGGTTTGTGTAGTTTATATATAATTTAGTATACACATGTCGGGAGAACAAATTTTAAAAATGTTTTGATCAATAGGGGCAAACCCAAAAGGTTTCAGCCCATTGTGTTAAACAGTGGTTCTTGTCTTCATGAAGCTTTGAGACGGGGAGATAATGTCTAATGTCGAGCGAATAAAACAGGGTAGAAGGGAATACACGCCTTAGGAAAGCTACTGTTGATGTTCTGCCAGAATCAGGAGCCCTTATTTCCATCTGGGCTCATGAGGGACAACTCCGCAGTAAACAATTTGCAGGAACCAAGACGCATCAAAGAAGGACAGTCTCCCAGAGGCAAAGGCAGGGTGGAAGGCATGGAGAGGGGAGAGGGTGAGTCATATTTTCAGAGGAAAGGACAGTGTGACTTCTCCGGGGCAGCGTGGTTATGGAGGTACCTATGGAAATGCAGGCATTTGGACTTCATTTAGTGGTGCTCTGACACCTGCCCTGGGTTCATAGAACAGGGGACCCTGATACAAGAGCAACAGAGCAACTTGACTCAAGTCAAATCCAGCCTGGCTATTCCGGAGCATTCAGGACTGAGGCCTCTGCTGCCAGCTCAGGCCCTCAATGGTGTTCCGAAGCATCAGCGTCCAGTCGTCACCCTTCCGCATCGGGGTGCAGCGCGTCTCCTTGAACTCCAGGGCTAGGATGTCCGCAGGGGTCTCTGGGGCCAGCCCTGCAGCCAGGACAGCTTCTGGGAACTTGGCTGCAGAGGCGGGGGCCAGACAGCACCGGGGAAGGCTGTGGGGTGGGGCAGGTGGGAACAGGGGGCGGGCGAGCGACCAGACAGACAGATGTGGAAAGGAGAAAGCGAGGAGGGAGGAGAAGGAACAGGGGAGGAAGGGGTAGGGCGGTGCACAGAGAAGAAAGGAAGAGAGAGAAAGAGGCAGACGTTGGGTACCTCAAACTTATCTCGACAGTGACACTGCCAGGGAAACTGCTCCTCTTTGTGGGGGACCCAGCTCAACCACCACATCTCAGTGGCCGCCCCCAGACAGCTATCACACACCCTCCTCCAGGACCACAGTTCTCGGGGCACACTCCATACAGCACCTGTCATGCTCATGAAAGCCATGGGTGCAGATTTCTGTCTTCCCTGCTTGGGGAGGAGGAGGGCCCCCGAAAGCCAGAGTACCCCGGTGACCCAGGCACCCACGGCCCGTACCTGGGCTGCTGCTTGTTCGTCTGCTGGTAATGGTAACTCACGGCCACTGCCGAGTGAGGGCACAGCAGGTACTGGTTCTCTTCCCAACAGCGACCCATGGTCTGGGTGATGGCTTCATCCGACACCGACTCAGATGTCACGGCCCCTGAAAGCTGACAGGTCCCAGGGTCAGAGGGGTGGGAATCAGGGTCGGGGAGGAACCGGTGGAAAGTGACCCAAAACTCACTACATAACAGAGGCAGGCAACACCAGACCCTCAGATGGAATCTTCAGACTAAGTCGCTCAACTTCAGCTCACAGAAAAATATGGCTCCCCGTGTTTCCCAGTTTTGAGTTGATTCCCTCAGCTTGGGGGAAGGATCCTTTGAGTTTCAGGTCAGTAAATTTAGTTAGGATTAGCTCATGATTTAGCAAATTAGTATACAGTCTTGTTCAGCGAAAGGACAAAACACAGAAGGTTAAGGGCTTTCAAACATTCCTGGTGCCTTGTCGTTGGCACACCCCTTCCCTGTGGGTGCAAGAATCACTTCCAGTGAGTTCCCAGCCAGCCCAGGTCACACCTCCTCCAGGAAGCCTCCCCCCAACCCACAGAGGAAGAGTCCCCACTGCCCCCTCAGGGTGGAGGGTTGATCCGATCATTTTCTGAAAATTTATTGCATGCTATCGATGTGCCCATCACCCTGCATATACTTGCCTGCAGCAGAGACCACACGGTGTCATAAACCGTTTGTACAGCTACCTGTCCCATTAGGTTCACAGAAGACAGAGAATGTGTTTTCTCTATATTTGTATCTCCAGCACCTAGCCAGTTCCCGGCTTACAGGCGATATATTGAATAAATGAATGAGTGAGTGATGGCTGTTCCAGCAGATGGAAAGTCTTGTCCATGGACAGCCAGGGAGAGAATGAAGCAGGGCGGGGTCTGGCGTCTGTGTTCCTGGAGCACCTCATTTACGTGAGGAGAAGGAATGGGGTATCAAAACAAACCAGTAACTGAGTATGTTGATCTTTGGTTGTGTTATGGTCTGAATGTTTGTGTCCCCCTCCCCCTGCTCAAATTCATATGCGAAAAACTTAATCCCAGTGTGATGGTATCTGAAGGTGGGACTTTGGGGAGGTCATGAGGGTGGCACCCTCGTGAAAGGAATTAGTGTCTTTATAAGAAGAGGACAGAGAGCTAGCTGCGTGTCTTTCCACCATGTGAGGCTATGACAACACACTGACCGTCTGCCATTTCTATGGAAGTTGCTCCCACCAGAACCCAACCATGCTGGCACCCTGATCTCAGACTTCTGGCGTCCAGAACTATGAGAGACAGAGGTATGTGGTTTATAAGCCACCCAGTCTCTACTTTGTTATAGTGGCCCCAACTAAGGTTGCATTACAGGAAACACTGAGATGCCACTCCGGTCTGCACGGGTGGCTAAGCCCAGAGAACTGTGTCCAGTTCTAGGAGCAGCCTTTTAAGCAGTCATTGACTAGGCATAATTAGGTCATGTAAGGGACGGCTAAAGGAACCGGGAAGACTCAGCAGAGAAATGGAGATTCTCTTCCAATATGGGAATCACCCTGCTCTCCGGTGCACAGGGTGGAAGGAGGAGATTCTAGCTCAACACACAGAACTTCGCAACGATGAGAGCTGGTGTGAGGTAGTGAGATCCTGGTCACTGGACATACGGTCTGGATGACTTGGTGGGATGTGGTAGAGAAAATTAAAGGTGGATGGACCATCACCAGGTTGCATTAAAATAAAAGCAATCGGGCACCTGGGTGGCTCAGTCAGTTAAGCGTCGGACTCTTGATTTTGGCTCAGGTCATGATCTCGGGGTAATGAGCTCGAGCCCTGCCTCGGGCTCCATGCTGAGCGTGGACCCTGCTTAAGATTTTCTCTCCCTCTGCCTCTGTTTCTCCCCCAACCCCATCCACTTGCATGCACGCTCTCTCTCTCTCTCAAAAATAAAATAAAGTAAAATAAATAAATAAATAAATAAATAAAATAAAAGCAGTCCTTCCTAACTAGATTCCTACCACTCTGAAGAAATAAAATTTTTCCTTTCCCTTTTAAAAAGAAAGAAAACTCAAGAGGATAATGGTTTCTGTTCAAACTGGATGGGCAAAATGGCTGCCAATTGTTGCTACTGCTGAAAATCAACAACAATAAATAAAAATAATAATAGTTAATGTATCAAGCCCTATATTTCCAGGCAGTGTACCAAGTGCTTCATGGGCATTATCTGACTTCAGTTTTCAATAGCAATAGGCATTCTCATTAGCCCCGCTCTACATATGAGGAAACTGAGGCACAGAGTTTAAAGAAATGGGCCCAAGTTTTCATGGCCAACTTGGAGCCAAGCCCTGATTCTAAATCAATGCTCTCTACTGTGTCTCCTCATTCAGTACATTAACCCATAGGAAGTGACTGCAAAGGTGCCCGCCTCGTAGCAGGTGCTCAAGAAACAGGTGACCTCTTCCCGTAACCAGATTTCCAAACCCAAGTTGGGTTTCATGGCTGCACCCTTTGCTATCTCCGTGGTGCCTGAGTGGTGACTGACCTTGCTGTGCAATTCCTTGGGTAGACTCGTGCTTTGGGTCCTTTCAAACTGCTCCATGAGGGCTCTTGTTCCCTGGCTGTCAGAGCCCGACAGCAGCCAGAAGATCCTCTCCATGTTGTAGGGTACCTGGGCAGGAAGGCAGGGTGCCAGGGCCACACTGATCTCAGCCCTTGTCCATCCCCACCCAGTCAACACCGGGGCCAGGCACACACTTTCCCACAGGTCCTACCTGAATGTCCATAGCTGATGCCAAGGTTGGTTCGATGGCCTTGGACAGAGAGAAGTCTCCCCGCTGCACAGTCCTATGGATGATGTCATTACGGTTCACTGCCACGACCAGGCGGATGGGCAGGCCCATCTTCCGAGCAATGCACCCAGCTTAAGACAAGAGAGGAGAAGAACAAAGGTTTCTTAGACATGACACCCAAAGTACAAGAAATAAAAGGAAATTTAGATAAACAGGACTTCATTAAAATTAAGAAACTTTTGTGCTTTTGAAGATGTTGAAGATTTGTGCTTTAAAGGGCACGATCAAGAAAATGAAAAGGCAGCTCACAGAATGGGAAAAAATATTTGCAGATCGTATATCTGATAAAGGACTCGCATACAGAATATGTAAATAACTCTTCAAACTCAACAATAAAAATATGAATGGTTCAATTTAAAAATGGGCAAAAACTTGGAAAAACATTTCTCTAGAAGATATACACATGGCCGGTGAGAACATAAAAGATACTCAACATCAGGAAAATAGAAACCAAAGTCACAGTGACATACCATTCCATGTCCATTAGGATGGCTAGAATCAAAGTGTTGGTGGGGCTGTCGAGAAACTCAAACCCTCATACATTGCTGATGGGAATATAAAAGGGTGCAGCTGCTTTGGAAAAGTCTGACAGTTCCTCAAAAAGTTAAGCAGAGAGTTACCATGTGACCCAGAAATTCTACTCCTAGGTATATATACTCGAAAAATGAAAATACAGGTCCACACAAAAACTTAGACACCAATGCTTACAGCAGCATCGTTCATAATAGTTACAAAATCGAAGCAATCCAAATGTCTAATAAGTGATAAATGGATAAACAAAATGTGGTATATGCATACAATGGAATGTTATTCAGCCATAGAAAGGAATGAAGTACTGATACATGCTACAATATCGGTGAAACTTGAAAACATATTAAGTGAAAGAAGCTAGACACAAAAGGTTACATATTGTATGATTTTATTTATATAAAACGTCCAGAATAGACAAATCGATAGAGACAAAATAGATCAATGGTTGCCTAGAGCTGGGGAGATGAGGGGAAATGGGGAGTCACTGCTAAAGGGAACAGGGTTTCTTTCCCAAGTGATGAAAATGTTCTGAAATTGACTGTGGGGGTGGTTGCACATATACTAAAAACTATTCAGTTGTATCCTTTAAACAGGTGAATTGTATAGTATGTGAATTGTATAACAAGCTCTCACACACACATGCACACAAAACAGGAAAGAAGAGTCCCTGATACTCTTCTCCACCTCCACGTTTCTCGCTCCTTCCCTTCCTCCCTTCCTCCCTCCCTCCCTCTCACTCTCTCTCTCTCTCTCTCTCTGTCTCTGTCTCTGTCTCTGTCTCTCTCTCTCTCTCTCTCTCTCACACACACACCAGGCATACATGCTTGCTACCACTTGCAGAAGAGAAAATGAAGGTTCTGGGAAGTTGAAATGACCCCCCCCCCCCGAGCCTGCTGAGTGGCACATGATCTTGCCCCCAACTCAGCCTCCTAGAAGCAGCGTCTGTGGACACCCCACCCCTCCTGGAGAGGCCCCTGGGTGGGGGGGAACAGAGCAGTGCCCTCCACCCTCCCAGCCACCAGTTCCTGTCTGCATAGAACAAACAAGGAATTCCTCACCCTGGGAGAGGGTTTTACATACTTCCACGAATGGTTCCTCTGGTGGGTCGTTAAGAGGAGTTAGGGATCACTACACCTCACTCTGAATTTTGCAAAGCACTTTCACATTCTTATTTTCACTTGATCCCCATGTAAACGTCGTGCAGAGGAGAAATGGATGCTCAAAAGGGCCCAGGAGCTTAAATTTACACGGCTAGTTCCCGATGGAGCAGAGATCGATAGCAGCACTCTCTGCAAACGTTCGTTTTGTGCCAGCCACTGTGGTAGGCACTGGGACACATGCAGGCGGCACCATTCACGGGAGGCTGAGGCAAACGGGAAGCGCTGTGGGCCCCCCCCCGCCCCCGCCCCCCGTGGATGGTGAAGATCCTTCCCTAATCGCCAGCCCCACTCTCCCCATTCCCGCGGGAGTGGAAGAAGCCAGGCAGCCTCCGGACCACTGAGATGCTTTCTCGGTCTCGCCGAAGCCATCCTTGGCGCCCATCAGGAGCAATGCCACGGACAGAGCCATCAGAAACAGCTGTGCCCGTGAGGAGGCAGCCTCGCAAGCTCACGAGGACGCAGGCTCTGGAGCCAGCCCGCGAGGGTGGTCATCCTGGCTCTGCCACCGACCGCTGTGACCGCAGGGGCAAGCTGGCCAACTTCTCTGTGCCCCCACTTCCTCATTGTGAGGTGGAGACAACAGTACCGTCCTCATAGGCGCGCATGAGCATTAAATAAGGTGATACATGAAAAGCACTTAGATGGGCACCTGATGCACAGCAAGTGCGGGATGCATGTTTATTATTATTCTAGAAGGCGATTTTAAGGCCATGCAGTGGCACAGCACTGCACCCTCACAAAGTTCATACACATACGTGAAGGATCTTACTTGCACTTCACAGGAGCCCTGAGAGATAGGATAAGCTATCCAATATTGCTTTTACAGCTGAGCAGCTGGGTCTAAGGGACTGCCCCAGGGCCACTCAGCTGGGGTCAAAACCCGAAGTCCAGACCTCTTTCCCCCTGATACGGTCTCTGGGTAGGGACTCTAGGGGTGGGAACGTGTTGTGCCGGTTGCCCTCACAGCAGGCAGCTGGCTGACGCTGGGAGTAAAGTCTGCCTCTCTGAAGCGGGCGATGGCAGGCCCGCACAGCGGCTGAATCTTGACTGCATCTCTCCACACCCCGCTGAGGGGGGCGAGCCCATCCTTCCCTCCTGCAGCAAGAGGCTGAGTGGTCCTCCCAGGGAGTGACCGGGACATTTGCTGGGGGCTTCTTCTGTGTGGGTGCCTGTCACCTTCAGAGCAGGGACTCCAACTTTCTCCTCACAGGTGCAGCCCAAGGGCAGCTGGAAGGACGAGGGCCACAGGGATTTTTCTGGAAAGCCCATTTCTGCCCAGGGGTCTCCTTACCTGCAAGGTTACCGGCAGCCCCTGTTGGCACAACCACCTCCACGGGGGGCAGGGGGTACGTGTCTAAGGATGGCGCACACTGGAAGTAAGCGAAGAAGTGGTGGGCCATTTGCACGAGGACCCGGGACCAGTTGATGGAATTCAGACTCATCAGATTGTGCTTCTTGACAAAAGCCACATCAGCAAACACGGCCTTGATTGGCTCATCAAGCTCATCGCTGTTGCCCTCCACTGTCAGGGGAGAGAGGGGAGGGGAGCTATCAGGAGCATGAAGAACCCCCAGGTGGTCGGCACTTGCCTGGCACAAGGCCCTTGCACATTGGGCCCATCCAGCCAGGACCTTCACTCGGCCCTGGTTTCTGCTCTCCCATGTCCTGGCCTGGCTTTCTAGACTCGAAATTAAACAACGCAAGAAAAGAAACCATGTCTCATATTCTTCTGGTCATACTTCCAACATTTCTACCATTACATAAAATTAGACATAAATTATCAACCTGCTGGGAGGTTGGGAAAAAGCCTCCTCTTTGGAGTCCGTGCCCACCTGCCCCACTCTCCAGGAACAAGGAGAGATGGTTTATGAGGCTACGCGGTGGTGAGAGGCTCATCCTTTCTTCACTCCACAGTCCTCTACCAGGACGTGGGGGTAAAGAGTCTCTGTTCTCACATGCTCTGCCCCTCTCTCAGTTAGATCACAGAGAGGCCTTCTGCTCTCTGCTCCCACGTGGTAGGTAAGCTGGCATGGGCCTTTCCTCCCTGAGCTGGGTGTGGGCACAGTTTAATTTATGGATGAATTACTGGGTAAATTTATGGGTGACTTGGCTACTAGTCCAAGTTGCACTCCTCAATCCAGCCCAACTAGCAATCAAGCCAATATGGATCTCTTATCTGAAACCTGGGTCTATTTCTCCACCAGATCCAAACTTGAAGGAGAGGGGTAAGATTTACTGCAGGAAGTGCCAGAGTTGCCACCGAGGTTCTTATCCATTCTACCCTTCTCACTGTAGAGCAGCAATGAGGTCATGGGGCTGACTCTAGATCCACACACCAGCGGGATGTTTGCTGCGGTTCCAGGAAAAAATTTACTGCTCTTAAGATGGAGCCACAGGAAGAGAGACTTAGTTACCTCAAGTAAGCATCATATGCCATGAGAGAACTGAGCCTTAGGATTGGGAAGGCAGAGCAGAGAATGCCAAGAACCTGGGTCTCCGCTGAGGGACTGCTGAGTCACTGAATCAACTATTCAGGAACCCCATCCCACCTCTAGACTTCCAGTTATATAAGCTGGAAAATATTCTTCTTCAGACTGGTCGGAGTTAGATTTTCTGTTACTTCCAGCCAAAAATATCCCAAATAATGTATAACCAGCACTTGCTGATTATTCTGTGCTTAAGAAGAATCAAGTATAAAATATATACGGAAATTAATGACTTTTAAAAACATCAGTGTCCAACACACAACAATCCAGGTGGCCCATTCCTACTCCCTGAGCTCCCTGGTCTAAGGGAAAAGACATGTCCACTCTTAGCCCTGGAACAAACACACATCCTCCTAGAAACCAAATCAGAAGATTCCAGAATGAAAGGAAGGATCTGAACAGTGCTATTTAGAAACAAAAATTAATTTCTTTAAAGTCCACTGTCTTATTTTCTTGAAGCTCAGAACATGGATAAAACAGAAATGCCCCTTGGGCTCCAGCAAGAAGACATTCATAACATATTGCCCTCATCACCATCCACATCTCTAGCTCTACTACTATTTTACAAATGGGCACCCTTCTCCGCTCTGTGGTCAGGAACCAAGCTTACACACAAGCCCTTAGGTAAAAGCCCTCCAATATCGGGTATAAGGCAAGAAGGGAGAAGGTGGCAGAACAGACGTATGAAATGTTATTCTCTGTTTCGATTCTAGGCAAAGAAAGTCCTGGATCCATAACTAGCAATTTAGTGCTTAGAGTATAATAGGGACCCTCAGGAGCCCAGATATCATACATCAAAATTTTGCAACGAGTGCAGGAAAATGCAGCCAAATATAGGCAACTGCCAATGCTAACATGTAAGATTTCCCAACACCTGCACTAGCTAAACCCAGAATTTTCACTGAAATGTGTAGGTGCTTGTTAAAGAGTAGAAGGGGGTTTTGCTTACTTTTGAACCAATGGACGAAAGATCTTCCTGCTACCGCCATGGGTAAGGTTTATTTGCACTATGCTTTTTGCTCCTCGACAAAACCAGTGTTCTATGAAAACATCCTCTGTGGGATTATATCAGGAGGCCAGGCGATTTGTAGGAGGAATGTCTTCTGCTACCATCATTGCTCTCCTGCTAAGTGAGTGACCAAACCAAGCCAGGCCTCCTGGACAGCTTTCCCAAGGCCACAGTGTATTAAACCTCACCAAGAACCCCTACTCCTCATATTCCTACCCTTACTTCAGGGCTACCTGGGGTCTAGCTAGGTGTAAAAAGTGGAAATAAGAGTGTATGGCTCCATTCAAGCTCACTCTGCCCTTCTAGAGTCTCAATTTCCATAGAATAGATGCCCTGACATTAAAGGAGATCATTTTTTGATTTCTGCAAGTACAAAATGCCAAAATTCATGATGTGGCTCAGGAAAAGGTATCTCCAGCAGTGGGTACTATTGAGTAATTTCCTAGACCTGCTAACCAAATGCATGACTTAGTTGTTTCTACACCACAAGGGAGGGCCTGAGCTGTTAACATGTAAGGACACACTCTTTTAAAATATTTAACATCTTTGTGGCCTCTAAAGTTCAGTGCACTGAAAACAAAACCCAGGTCACTTGGCTTGGGCTATGGGTCTGGTGGCTGCCTATATATATGGCACCAGTAGGTTGAACCTGCACAGAGGTGGCATTCTTTGGGGTTTGGTGTTGGGTTATACTGTCAGTAATGGTTTATGCACTTGTCACCTCCAATAGCTTATGAAACCGTGTTGCCAAGAGCTTGCCCAGAGCTGGGCAAGGCATATACCAACCTCATGACTGATGAAGGAAGGGAAGGAGAGAGAAAAAGCAGGAGGAAGGGTGGTCAACTAATCAATTGACCAGTTGTATTCCAGCCCATCTCCCAAAACAGACGCTCTCAAGGCAGCCATGCTTTCCCTGGAGCCTCCATTCCAGCACTCACCTCCAAACACATGGACGTTCTCCCTCACCACCGTGGTCATCTGGAGCTCTTGGATCTTCGTGCAGTGACCCTGGGGCAGCAGAACGATGATGTCCACGTTCTTTGTTCCTTGAACACTCTCAATGGCAGCACTTCCTGTGTCCCCAGATGTTCCTGGATAGGAAGAAAAAATAACCCTCCCCTTTACAACAAGGAGACAGAGAAGGAAAGAAATGGTCCCTAAAGCATTGCTGCACAGAAGGCAATGTCTACTTCAAATACCTGAAGAGATGGAACCTCGTACTTAACTTAAATGCCTAGGTGATGCCCTAGGGATCCAGGGACAGAAATCAGGGCATCTGTGAACTTGGTACCATATAATCTTACATATTTTGTGTACTTAAAATATTCTTCTGAGAAGGTTCCGTAGCCTCCACCAGACTGTCCAAGGGGTCCGTGGCTCAGGAAAATGTGACGAGCCCTGCTCTAGAAGAACCAGTCACATACACTCGAGACATGCATGCGGAGCATCCCGTGGGTAGATACCGGCACATGAGGGCACCTACGGGGCTCTGGCCCTCACGCGCACGATGCACACCTACAACCACAGTGACGTGCTTCTTCTCCTTCTCCAGGAAGTACTGCAGGAACTGGGCTGTGCAGCACAGGGACAGGTCCTTAAACGCGTACGTGGCCCCATGCCACAGCTCCAACACGTTCAGCCCATTCCTCAGCCTGGACAGATGGACCACCTCTTTATGGCGGAATCTGCAGAAGGCTTGGTCGATCAGAACTGTGCGGGGAGAGGGGTGGGACAGTGGGGGAAGGGCATTAGCTCTGCCTCAGGCTCTCTCCCCTCTCCACTCCCCTGCACCCCCGTTTCTTTATGCTTTTTTTTTTTTAAAGAATTTATTTATTTATTTGACAGAGAGAGACACAGTGAGAGAAGGAACACAAGCAGGGGGAGTGGGAGAGGGAGAAGCAGACTTACTGAGGAGCAGGGAGCCCGACGTGGGGCTCGATCCCAGGACCCTGGGATCGTGACCTGAGCCGAAGGCAGACACTTAATGACTGAGCCACCCAGGCGCCCTCTTTATACTTTTGAGTGTGAAGTTTCTCTCTCCTGCTACCAGATAAGAGACCAGAAATGTTTACCCCAAAGGAGACTATCTATGAATAGAATTACTTAATCCTAGGAAGAAGTCTGCAAAGACATGAACCACACTGTTCATGGATTCCTCAGAGTGATGCCCCCCAGAGAAGAGAAAGAGTATAAGACTTCCATTTTTTACTTTATAAACTGCATCATTTGGATGTCTTGCATGCATGTATGCCAGTCAAGGTTCAATTCCACAATTATGCAACAAACAAATCAATGTCTCATCTCTTCCAGGGTTCCTTCTTAAAGCCCAGATGTGGTTTGTTTTTGCTATACTAAATTTCACGCCTGTGATACCAGAACCTTGGGAAGGTTCACATATAATCCTACCTAAGGCAGGTCCACCTTAGGTATTGCTTCCCAAACTTTAATTGACAAACCAATCACCTGGGATCTTAAAATGCAGATTCTCGTTCAGTAGGCCTGAGGAAGGCAGAGAATTCTAATAATGCCCAGGTGATGCCAACAGTGCCATCAGACCATATTCTTGAGCGGTCCTCTTCTTCCCAGCCCTAAACTCCCACCATCATATCGTGGATTAGTTCACATGTCTGGCCCATGGACCAGCGGCACTAGAATTATCTGGATGCTTGGTAGGAATGCAAAATTCTCAGGCCCCACCCCAGACCTACTGAATCAGAATCTGCATTTTAACAGGGTCCCCAGGGAAATCGATGTGCACATTCCAGTTTGAGAGGAGCTGGTCCAGGACACTCTCCACGTCCCTTCTGAAATTACGATTCAAGGAAACAGAACAGTAATCTGAGGGTCCAGGTGCTTTATATACAGGTAGGAAATATCCCAACATTCAAGCATCTCAGGATGTTGGTGAGTCTCTAGTCTTAAAGAGATTTTTGAAAAATAAACTAAAGGAAAAACATTCTCTGCAGATCACCATGGCGTTCATCCCACTGGAGATGGAAGGTGGAATGGATAAACTCTTTGGGGATATTTCCATTTCTGGGATTCTAGAATCTGGGGAAAAACTCTAAAGTTTGGGAAATAGGACTAGAAACCTCCTGGGGGTTAGGTGACGGATTCGCAGCTCTGTGGGGGGCTGGACTGGCAGGGGGATGAGGTTGGCGAGTAGAGAGGCTGGGGGATGCTCACCGTTTAAGACATGTCTTGGAATGAGCTCAGGACCAATGAAGAGGGTGCACAGCTCCTTAACCAGGCTGGGGTAGGAGAGCGTACTCCAGTGACGCAGGGTCTCTATGCCCAGCTGTGGGAGCTCCTCGGGCATGAAGAGACCTCCATCGGGAGCATAGCCAGAGAAGAGGGCCCCCTCAAAGTCGACCCGTGGGGCCATCCCCCGAGTGCTGATGTACCACATGATCCTGGTGGCCTGCAGAAGGAACGGTCCCAGAGGCACGTGATCTCCAAGCTCAGTACCCCACAGGAAGAAGCTAAAGTGTACACAGCACCCTCAGCTAGCCCTTGGACCACCACTCATGGGGGTCTTTAGAAGCTAAAGTGTACACAGCACCCTCAGCATCCCAGCCTGAGAGACTGGAGCCCTGTCGAGTCTCATGCCTGCTTCATCTGGGACTGTCCAGATCATGACCTCTCCAGTCAAAATGAGGCAAATTCACTGACCTTGGGAGAGGGGGTATCAAGTCATTTCAGGAAAGGAGAAAGTTTGGTCCTCACGGTTGAGGAGTAAGGGAACTGGGAATAGATCATAGCAATAAGACAACCGCCATTTTGACAGCTCTCTTGATAAGGAGAGGACCACCACAGTTGGTTATACACCCTTTTGAGAGATATCTGGGTCCACTTCTGCTCAAAAAGTAACCACCGTCAATGGCTGTCTATAACCTAGTGGTTCCTCACTCTGGTAGTTTGTTGGAATCAACTTGGGAGCTTTAAAAAAAGTATTCCTGTCTGGGGCCTTCCCTGGATCAATGAGATTAGAACCTCTATATGAGAGGCTCCATGGGTGAAGCTATTGTGCAGCCAGGGTTAAGAATACAGTAACCAACTTGTCCCACTTTGCCCAAGGCCTTCCCAGTTTTAAAACTGAAAGTCTCAAGTCCCAAGAAACCCCTCAGTGCCAGACAAACTAGAACGGTTTTGTCATCCTAGTTGAGAACCAGTGCCCTACCTCTCAGCCTAATCCCGGAATCGTTAGAAGTGCTGGCAAGCTACCCTTAAGACTGTCTAGCCAAGGCTAGCTGGCCCTGTGTGAACTCAGGACTCTGATTGGGGTTGTGGGGAGGAGCATCCAAGAGCGCCCAAGGCCTAACTGTGTTCACAATGCCACATCAGTTAGGTTCCCAGGAGCCAGGTGCCAGGTCAAGGAGCTGAGCTTGAGCTCTGAATACCGTTCTCTGGATCCGGGTGGTGAATCCAGGAGCTCTGGTTTTAAAGCCCCAAGGCCAGGAAACATTTCAGGAAGGGCCAGCTGGTAAAGAAATCTTCTGACAAAAGGTGGGGCAGGGCAGGGACTTGGACCGGAGGGGCTGAGCCCCTGGCCACTGATCGCAGGCAGACCGTGCCCCTGGGGGGGGGGGTGGAGGACCTAGCAGGCCCAAGTAGGTCTCTGCCTCTCTAGGGTCACCGGGGACCAGTCCTCCGGCTAACCAGGCCCTGGGTCAGGGAAGGAGGTTTTGATAAGACCTGCAGGATAAGGCACACTCCCAGCCTCTGAAAACACGGTACTACAGAAACCCTACAGAAGGTGCAAAGCCTCGGAAACCCTCGACCCTCCCAGGTTCCTCCGAGTCCCAGCCAAGCGCCACAGCTAGAGGTTACAGAAGGGGGCGGGAGGCCGACACAGCCAAGCGGAAGCCAACCGCGAGAAGTTCAAGAGCGCAGATAAACCGCTACGGACGACCCCCCCCCCCCGGGGAGGGCTCCGCGATCGCCGGAAGTGCAGGCGGGCAGGGGCCCCCCCGCGGCCGGCCTGTGTGCGGGGAGCCCGGCCGCGGGGGCGCCGGGTCGCGTGGGGCGGTCGCCGCGGTCAGCGAGCGGCGCCACCCCCCCACCCACCTCCCCCCGCCTTGGGATCGTCTGGCCTGGGCCCGAGGGGCCGGAGGGGCTGCCCGGGGCGGGCGGGGGCCGGTTACCGGGTCCGCGGCGCGGGCGGTGCGCGCTGGCCTGGGCGGCAGGGTCAGGCTTACGCCGGGAGAGGAAGAAGGGCCGCGGGGGAGTGAGGCGGAGCGCGGAAGGCAGCGGCGCGGGATGAGGTGCAGGAGGGCGCCGGAGGGAAGGCCAGTGAGAGCGCAGCCCTTTAGCTTCACTTGGCATGTTTTTAAGGCACCTGGCAAATCACTGACATTCAGTCTCCCAGTCTTCACGGCCGCCCTGGAACCTTGTTTTTTTTCTGATTAGAAGGCAGGACAAGATGGAAAGAACCCCTTTTCTTTGGGCTTCATGCTTCTCACCGGCAAAATCAGACGTCTGGACAAACTCCTTGTTCCTCAGACTAGGGCTAGTACATCAAGAATTCGGAATCCACGGGGATACATGGCATTGTTTTAGCTCAACAATTCTTTGTAGGAAAACACTTTTTATTAAGTACAGAACTATTCTAGAGTAAAAATCCTCCCCAGTTTATTTATTTATTATTAACGAAGCAAGACACTTGAAAAAATGACCTCCAGACGTGGCAAATGCCCCTGGATTCACATTCATCCTCCTGGGTCCCAATTCACTTAGGAGGCAAAGTTTGAGGAGCTGGACGGATGTCAGCTAAGGGTTAGTCTGTGCCTCTGTGCTGGGCCTGGTCCCTGTAGCTGGGCCTCATGGGGACAGAGAATGTGGATGACTGCCTTCCTCCTTTCTTCCTCCTGTTTAGGACATTCTCCGAAACCTGTGGTCTCTGCTCATTCAAGTTACCTCTCTCCAGACGTCGGCCCGCATGTGCTCATTGGACGTATCCACCCAAGTCCACATACTTGCCATTGACTGACTCCAGTCTGGATGGGTCTCAGATTCCAGAAAGAGAGAGTCTGACTGGTCACTGTTCTGCTAACAGACTGTCGTGGTGGACTTCACACAGAGGCCAGGGAGCCATTCCCAGAGAGGGATCCAGGCCAGGCAGGACCCCCAAAGGGTATCCACCCCTTGTATCCGGTATACTTTGTCACTCAAAGGCCAGAGAAGCTGAGGCACTTGGCAACAATGCCCTAAGACGGAGCCGTATATGTTACAATGCTCATGACCAACCAGGATGGTATCTCAAAAACCCCACAAGGACAAAAGTACCTTCCACGGAGTTCTCCCTTCAGGCCCCTTGCCAGACTTACAGAGGCCTCAGGACTTCTTCATTTCTGATTCCCTCAGAAAGGAGAGGAGCAAAAGCCTCGGGGAAGAAGAGGTTTAATTTGTTAGGAATCCCCGCCCAAGACATTCAGAACAATGCGGCTCTAGAAAATAAAAACTTCTGCATGGCCAGCCTATGAGGGGGACAGAATTCGGAGTGCCAAGTAGGAATAGTAGGAATGTGGAGTTCCTTGAGACTTTTACACTGGACCAACGTTGAGTTTTTATAAGATTGAAAATTGCTTTTATGTATTTACTTTGCTTTTTGACCTTAGGGGTTAGAGTGCTTAGCTGTCTGTGGCTTTGAAGCCAAGGATCTTCAAAGCAGAGCCCCAGGGCCCCTTGCAGTGCTCTCTCTTCCATGTGTCCCTACAAAGCCCTCTAAGGAAGGCTTCTACAAGACTGTGCACAGAGGATCCCCCCCCCCCCCGCCCCAGTGGGATGTAGGAGCTAGGGGCCAGAGCCCTCTGTAAAGATTCGAGAGCACACAGGGCCCAGGCTGCTGGAGGAGCATGTGACCTGCCAGAAGCCCGCCAGCCATTCGTGAAGGCCACAGGCCGGCGCTCAGGCTTTTTCTGGAGTTCCGGTGGGGCAAGGGAGCAAGGCAAAGGGGAGAAAAGATGGCATTCAGAGGACACGCCTGGTCTCTCTGAGCATTTTGACTTCCTAAACTGATGATCCACTGTTTTACTTAATGTGTGTGGTGGTTGTTTAAGGAGATGGGGTGGTATTTAAGCTCACATACTCTGAATCACCCTCATTACTCTGAGTTCCTGACTCTGTAACTAAGGGTTTCAAATAAATAGTCTCAAATTATCAAGAAAAAACTGACTAGTATCTTTCCAACTGCCTTTTTTTTTCTTTTCCAGAAACAGACAGGTTGATCCTAAAATTTATATGGAAATGCAAGGGACTCAGAATAACCAAAACAGTCTTGACAAGAAATTACAAAGTGGAAGACTTATGCTTCCGGAGTTTAAAACCTAGTTCAAAGCTGTAGTAGTCAGGACAGTGTGGTGCTGATATTAGAATAAACACACAGATCCATGGAATAGAATTTATAGTCCAGAAATAAACCCATGCATGTACAGTCAATTGATTTTTAACAAGGGTGCCAAGATTCTTCAATGGGGAAAGAATAGTCCCTAAGCAAATGATGATGAGATAACTAGATATCTACATGCAAATGAGTGAATATGGACCCCTATGTCACACCATATGCAAAATTTACCTCAAAATGGACCAAAGATGTAAATGTAAGAACTAAAACTATAAAACTCTTAGAAGAAAACAATGGAAATCTTCATGACCTTGGATTAGGCAATGTTTTCTTAGATATGGCACCAAAATCAAATGCAACGAAAGAAAAAATAGACAAATTTGGCTTCATAAAAAATTAAAGCTTTTGTGCATCAGAGGAAACTATTAAGCAAGTGAAAAGACAATCTATAGGCTAGGAGAAAATAGGGGCGCCTGGGTGGCTCAGTTGGTTAAGCGTCTGACTCTTGGTTTCAGCTCAGGTCTTGAGTTCACGGTTGTAGGATCCAGCCCCACATGGGCTCAGCATGGAATCTGCTTGAGATTCTTTCCGTCTTCCTCTCCCTCCCCCTCTGATCCTCCCCCCGCTCATGCATGCATGCATGTTCTTTCTCTAAAATTAATAAATAAGTAAGTAAATAAGTAAAATCCTTAAAAAAAAAATAGGGAGAACAGATTTGCAAATCATAAATCTGATGAGTCAAGTATCCAGAATATATAAGAAGCTCCTACAACTCAATAATAAAAAGACAACGTAATTTAAAAATGGGCAAAGGACTTAAATAGACATCTCTTCAAAGAAGAGCTATGAATAGCCAGAAAACACATAAAAAGATACTCAACATCATTAGTCATTAGGGAAATGCACATCAAAACCAGTATGAGATACCACTTCATACCTACTAGGATGGGCTGACATCAAAAAGATTCTGTTGGTGAAGATATGGAATGATTGGAACCCTCATACACGTCCTGAGACCCATTGCTGGTGGGAATGTAAACTGGAATAGCCACTTTGGAAAACGATTT